AGATAAGTAGACTAAGCCTTCATGACATTAAGTACTCATCTTTTTAACAGCTGAGGGTTTGGGTCCAGGTCTGTTTGAATCAAAGTCCAGGCTCTTTCCATGATGCTCTCCTACCCTGGGAATCAGTATAGTCCAGCTGGGTGGGTAATTCTAACATGTAAAATGCTTTTAGACAAATGTGACCATGATCATTATTAAATCAGGAGCTATCGACAGTATGGGTTGCACATAATTCATAGAAGAAAAGGTTCCATGAAAGTTGTGCCAAGCAGTTACTTGATAGAAATAACTTTTGAGTTGCCCCTGGAACAACAGAGAAGATTCACTTAAGTGAAACATGAATCTCCGCCTTCTTCCCCGAAATGGCTCAAGATGCATGACCTTCCAGCGGGGATCAGCAGGCTGACATCTCTAGGAGAAGCCTGGGGAAACAATCCTGTCTTCATTATCAACTCAGAGTTTCTCCTGTTGATCTTGAACGGCTTTAGGGTTGAACAGACCATCTAGTCAGACTACTCAATCCTGGGGGTTGCCGGCCATGCTCACCCACCGTCCTGGGCACCCTCGTGGGGTGCAGGCCTTGGCCTCAGAGCTTTCCTCCCAGGCAAGAGTAATCAGAGCCATTCCATTCGCTTTGTGTCCTGAAGTGCCTGTCCAGCAAGAAACATCCACTGGGATTGGTAAGAATTGACTGGAGACTGCTCCTAACATTTGGTTCCTGCGTTCACTGAATGCCCAGGTGAACGTGTACATCTTGTGTGGGGCCTGCAGGAGGGAGGAGTAGCTAGTGGCCAGTAAGCAGCTGCCCCAGAAAGGCCTGTGTATGCACAGAAGTGTGGGGTGGTGACCCTGTGGCTGATGACCTCCCACAGAGGAAGAGAGCACTCCAGAATGCGGGAGAAATGGCAGAGAATGAATGTTTGAGGGCTTTCCTGATATCTTTATGTCGTTCATTCTCTCTTGGACTCTCTTTTCCCCTTCCCTCCTTGGGACATCCCCTTCCTTACCCCTTTCTTCTTTCCACCACTCCACCTCACCTCTGCCCTCCTCCCTGGACCCCCACTACACTTTGCCCCTACTTCTCTATCCCCTCCCCGATTTGTTCCTCCTGCTCCCCCTCCCCCTCTCTCCACAGGCCCCTAGATCCCTGCCCATCTTCTTCCCACCCCCTCTCCCTTTCCCCACCTGCACGTATGTCTGTCCCTCCCTCTACCTCTCCCTTTTTCTCTCCCCCTCTTCTCCTCTTGGTCTTCGTCTCTCTTTAATTCTCTCTTCCCTTTTCTCCTATTTAGTGTCAAGTATGGGGTGAAACTGTGCAATATGCATGCAATGGTGGTCACAGGAGGCAAGGAGCTGAGGATGGGCCACGGGGCTGCATGGTGCTCATTTGCTGCCTGACCGCCCTTTCCCAGCGAAGCTTCTTGGAGGTGCTTGTCCTGAGATTTGCACATGCTTCATTTTTGACCCCTTATTTTTTTTTTAATGTTCATTTTTGAGAGGCAGAGCACAAGTGGAAGAGGGACAGAGAGAGAGGAAGACCTAGAATTCAAAGCAGACTCCAGGCTACAAGCTGTCAACACAGAGCCTGAGGCAGGGCTTGAACTCATAAGCCATGAGATCATGACCTGAGCTGAAGCTGGATGCTTAGCCAACTGAGCCACCCTTGACTCCTTATTTTTAAATGAGTTTCAGGAATCTGTGAGCTCAGCAGAACTGTAATATGGAGGGCCTCAGACTGATGTTACTCTGGGCTGAAGGCCTTTGACTTTGGAAGGCACGTGTCTGTGGGAATGATTGTCCAGCCTAACAGAATGGAGCAGAAGGGGAAGTAGAAAGCCAGGGTCTTTTCAAGCAATTTTTTAAAAATTTTTATTTATTTTTGAGAGAGAGAGAGAGAGAGAGACAGAGTGTGAGCATGGGAGAGGCAGAGGGAGAGGGAGACACAGACTCCAAAGCAGGCTCCAGGCTCTGAGCTGTCAGCACAGAGCCTGACACGGGACTCAAACTCACAAACCGTGAGATCATGACCTGAGCCAAAGTCGGACGCTTAACCGACTGAGCCACCCAGGCACCCCACAGGCAATTTTTAAAATAAGAATATCAGCACCAAAAAGGCAAAGCTCTCTTCTTCATCCCTTAAGTATCCTCAGTCAGTTTTGGGAACAGGGAGGTTTAAATCAAAAGGCGATCGTATATCCATCTTCTCCCGCAATAGGTACAACCTGATACTTTGCCCATGGCAGATGTTCAATAATTAGAAGTGAAAAGAGTCTACCTGATACTGGAGTGTGTCTTTGAAACTCTCTGGTAACTTCCCAGTGTAAGTGCCATGGAAGGCGTACCATCCCAGGTCCCAGTCTTGTGTTTTTGTAAAGAAAGCATTGATGGGATAAATGGTGTTGAAGCTTTCCTGTAACCATTTCTGCTTCCTCTTGGGCCCTCATTGTTTTGCCCTTTGGCCATGGGGAGAGCTGAGCCTTCCAAGTGGAGACCCACATCAGGAAGGCTGCAGTAAGTCTGAGGAGCCAGTGGAAAGTGTGCTCTGTACTCCTCAGCTGGAGTTGAGGCAGGGAAGGGAGTCGAGAGAGGGCTGGATGGGTGTCAGCAGTTTACCCTGTGTGCACAGCTAGCTTATCCCCTGAGTGGTCCTTCCCACTGACACTGTATTGCAATTTTCCTTTTGTAATAAGTGTAAGACCTTCAGGTCACAAGCCATGCATGTGTATGGTGGTTCACCCTGATTCTAGAAGGTGGACATTATCACAGGTCCAGAGTGTTTCTTCTTGGGACAGATGAAATCTGGAGTAAAGAAAGCGGTGTCTGGGCATCCAGATGTTGTTTAATTTTTAAGGCTGGAAAGAATGATTTCTTTGGTCTTCTGAACTCCCCGTTGAGATCACCCATCTGCTCTGTAGAGACTATTAGTAACTTCCATATTCCTCTAGCAGTCTTTAGGGGATTGAATCAGGGTTTCTCTGTTGTCCCCTACTCATAACCGTGTGTTTGATTTATGGAATAAACCCTGGATCATCTAAACTGAGTCAGGTAGGACTGCTTCAAAGCCACTTTACTGTGACTGGTGTGTTTCAAAATAAATTCTCTGAGGATGGGGTCCAAGACTCCTCTAGGCAGGCTTGTCTTGTCTTCTTTCCTTCAAAGCCCATTTTTGTTTTTGTCAAATAGGAGAAATAGAAAATTGAAAGAAGCAAAAATGACTCTGAATCTTGGCAGTCCAGGTAGAATCATAAATAAATGTTCAAGGAAATAAAACACTGCAGGTTCGGCAGTCCTTTATGTATTGTTCGTCTCACTGGCATTTCCTAGCCCTTCTTGGAGCATGTGATTGGAGCAGTTACTTCCACTATATGATGTAAGCAGTTTCATTTCTGTTTTAAGCTTATTTATTTTGAGAGAGAGAGAATGTGCAAGAGGGGGAGGGCAAAGAGAGAGAGGGAAAGCGAGAATCCCAAGCAGGCTCTGTGCTACCAGGGCAGAACACGGTGCAGGGCTTGATCTCAGGAACCCCAAGATCATGACGTGAGCCAAAACCAAGAGTCAGGAACTTACCTGACTGAGCCACCCAGGTGCCCCATATTAACTGGCATAGCTAAATTGTTCAGTAGTGAACCCTGACATGTGTTAAGTTACATCTGGATGTGCTCTTAAAATATATCAACTTTGCCCCGGGGCTGCAGTTTTCTAAGTCTTTCTTGAGCGCAAGGATGGGGTAGGAGATTCTTTAACTAAGGAGTATAAAAGTGTCTTAAAATTCATTTGGTGGACTGTTGCTGTGGCCTTTTAAAGGCCTGGTTGAGATTGATAAGGAAAAATCATAGTTTCCAAATGTTTAACACCGTAATTACTGTTGACCATGAATGTCCTCTCTGAACCTCCTTACTTTTGCTATCTTTCTTCATTTCTTATCATGTAAGTATAATGATGCTCATGCTTTAAGTAGGAGAGAAATATGTAAGTCAAAGAAGTCACTGTAATTGGTTCAGTTAGTCTAATTCTTTACTGGTCACATAGAAGGTTTGGGAAATGCAGTATGAGGTAACATTAACACCCCATTTTTCCTTTGTGCTAATCTCTTTATTCCAAAAAAGAGTATACAGTTCACTAGATTTCTCTAGAAATTGACTTTGTGATATATTTACATTCTGTTAAAGATACTGAAAGTTTGATCACAATTAGTTATAATAATAAAATATAAATAAAAACTTTAAAAACTCTTGGCAATGCAAAAATAAATAAAATTAACCCAAATCTCCCAGGGTCCCTAATGGCTCACAATCTGTTACCTTCTGTTCCTTATTCAAATACACTGCTGTTCCCTGTAGGGCATGGAATATTTAGTGGTAAATAACTGGGGGCCACTTCATCCACAGGGAGGTTGTGGAGTAAATTACATTAGGTTTTTTAAGATGGCTGCTTTGTGCCATTACTCTTTTTTTTTTTTTTAAAATAATATTACCAAATCTTCTTTATTCCAGCAACTTTATTTTTTTTTATTTAAAACTTCTCTTTTTAATGTTTTATTTATTTCTGAGAGAGAGAGAGGGACAGCATGAGCAGGGGACAGTCAGAGAGAGGGAGACACAGAATCCGAAACAGGCTCCAGGCTCTGAGCTAGCTGTCAACATAGAGCCCGACATGGGGCTCAAAGCCGTGAACCATGAGATCATGACCTGAGCCGAAGTCGGACGCTTAACCGACTGAGCCACCCAGGCACCCCTGTCCCGTTACTCTTCCTCCGTAAAAGCGCAGTACACAGTAAGGGCTCCTTTGCCATTTCCATTCCCAGACCACGACTATTCTCACACTGGGAGAATGTCACATTCCATTTTCTGATGTTGTAAGTTTTTCTTTTAATCTTTTCCAACCCCCACCCCCACCCCGGCCCCCATCATCACTAATGGTGTACCTTGTTGTCTGCCAGTAAAATTTAAGAATGTGTAATAAATTAAGGATGGTTCTGCGTTGCCTCTTTATCTGACTAGCATCTGTGGGTGTCAGCTGCCAACAAGTAGCTCGGGTGTCTGGGCCGCTCCTGAATACTCCCAGACTGACACACTCTCTCCTGATGAAAGGTACCTTCAAACGTGCATGTGATTTTCAATCTAAATTGCATATGCTTAAACTCTTCGTGTAAGGGAACCGCTCGACCGATTACAATGACTTGGCTGGGACTTTTTAAAAGCTGGATATAAATATTGCTGGAAATTATAAAGCAAGCATAAATACTTCACTCTGAGCTGTGCTGAGCGTTTTCAGAATGCTTCTGACCACATCTGTGAAATCTGAGCTTCGACCAGAGGAAGGGCATGGGGGTGCGGGGAAGAGCAGAGTTAGTCACACAGGAACGCCTGCCCTCCCATGGAAGCTACAAAGTAATGGCTTAACCCTTCATGTGGTTTCAGTGGTAGTAAAGGAATGGTTTTGACCTTTCAGTTCTTATCTAATTGACCATCTTGGTTTTGATGACGTGTGTATATAACCTCATTTGAAAACCTACATGTGTGAATTGAGACCTATTTTGTTAAGATGGTCGTGGTCAAATAGAATACACATTATGTTCTCTAGAGAAACCCTATGCTTTTGTGGGTGATAAGAACTGAAATCAAAGCATTGCCGATCCTTTGTATTTTAATAGGATATTTTATTCTCCTAATTCTGTGCAAGGTGCTAAAAAGCCTCTATATCTAAGATGGCATGTGCATTGAGTGAAGTATTTATTCTCTTGCTTTAAAGCTATCCATTGTAGAGAAAGGTCAGTGTGTGGTGGTGGTGGTGGTGGTGGTGGCAGCAGCGGCGGCAATGGTGGTGGCAGCAATGGTGGTAGTGGCAGTGGTGGTCGTGAACATGGCGAAATATTGAACCTGAGACATGTTACATCAAAATGCTGAGGTCCTTCTTTAAGGTCAAGAAATAGCCCTCACCTTATGCACGTTCCATTTTATTTTGTACAACACCAAACTCATGAAGAGAATAAAAACATAATGTAGCATTTTTCTTTATACAGTTTTGCCTTTACTATTTTATTCTACAGCTTTTAATTTTATAATGAGATCTTGATGCCAGGTTTCATGTAAGTGATGAGCTGTCATTAATTTATTAGGATCCACTGTGTCAGCTTCTTTGTTCTGTCATCCCGCTTGTCTGATGGATCAGAAGGTGGGATGGTTAACAAAGGAGTCACTGAGGTACAGGAGGGGTGTGTGAATGCTAACAGTGCTGATATGGTGTCGGTTTTATCATTATTTTCCAAGACTTCCTCCAGCGCGTCTCTTTGTCAGTATGATCTCCCCCTCTCCCTTTTCCTCTCTCTGCAAGATACCAGCTTAATAAACAGGAGAACAAATATGACCCCTTGCTTTATCCTGATCTTAATTATGTACTTTTAAGTCAGACGCTTCTGCTGGCATTGCATCTCTCCCATTGTATGCAGAGATGAGCTCCAGGCGCTGTCAGTCATTCAGAAATTAGAAGCTGTGCTCTGCATCTGACCTGGTGCCTCACACACGCCCACATCCCCACACAACTGGCAAACAGTGGTGGTTTATTTTGGGGCTAGTATAAGAGGCTGCATCTGACAGCTGTGAGTGTCAGCTAAGGGCTGAGACTGTCATGTAATGTGGCCTCAACTCTTGTCTCCCTGCCTAGACTGTTCCCTAGAAGCTCAGCCCAAATATGTTAAAGGTGGGAAGCGTTACGGACGAAGGTCCTTACCTGAGTTTCAAGAGTCCGTGGAAGAGTTTGCAGAGATTGAGCCCCTAGATGAAGAAGCACGGCCGTCGCACACCCCAGCCAGTGATCGCCACGAGGTAAGGAATTGGACAAGCACAGCCACTCGGACCAGAGGAGCGGTGATGGACAGATACCCCTGCCATGGTGGTGTGGAGACAGGAGACCTGAGGAGTTTATGGCTCTTCTCAGTTACCAGCCACTTGCTAATCTTATTACTTGGTCTCTTGGATATAGATGGCTAATTTTTCTGTTGTTTGAATGTTTCCACCTCTGTTTCAACCCCTGGAGAGCTGACATTTCTGTGCAAACTATTTTATGTGCATATATTTTAAAATTCAGTTATTTTCCTATTCTCTGGGGTCTGCCACCTCGAGCACTTCTTAAGAGAATGTCTCTCTTCACGGCACTGTCATTTTTAGTTGTCTAAAAAGCTGCCCCCGCCCCCCCCCCCACGCAGTTTATAAAACAGCATCAATGGCAGGTAGGAAACAACAGCGGTGCGCTTAGGCAGTTTGAAAGGGGCGCCTTCTCTTCCATGGCGGGGTACAGCAGCTTTCCCACTCGGTTCTTGTGGCCTCAGCAACCATCACGGTTCTCCTTCCTGGCGCCAAGTCCTCCTGGCCTTCCAGCAGTCAGATGTGCCCGCTTCCCTCATCTCCTTTCTTTCCCTTTTACGCATCACCGTACTTTATCAGTGAAGGAGAAGCAGTAACATTTTCTTTATTCTTTCCTTACGGCTCATTTACCAGCATGCCATTTATTGAACATGACTGAAAACGCCATGCTGAGCAAGCTCTAAATATTTCTTGCAAATCCCAGCTCAGACTGGGGATGCAAATATTTCAGATATTAACATAAGCTGGGAAAGAGACAAAGTGCCTCAACCTTCTTAAATTGTCTGTAGATGGTGGATTGCTGGAGGTGTGCGCGTTTGTGTGAGTTCATTGCTGTCTAACGCCCATGTTCAGCTCATTAAAATCCACAGGAAGCTTGCTCCAATAATGACCCCAGCAGTCAGACATCTAGCATCTTCAGCCTTCCAGAATGCCCACAGACCCAAAGGTAACAGAACCTAGGTACTGAGCAAAAATGAAACCAGCCAGAGCACATCAATTTAGAAGACACAGGACTGGTGGTCTATTGATCTGGGGAAGTTTGCACTATTGTTTTAAAGATAAGGAATACCTGTCCTCACGCCAGAAGTAAAGGAACAGTGGTAGACCTGTGAGAGAGAAGAGAGGAAGAAAAGCAGCTAGAGAAGAGGGAGAAAAACCTGCCAAATGGCGTAAGGCGGGCATGGGTGAGAGGTGACAGCTGAAGACAGAAGAGGACATGAGAAACCAGGAAGAGGCACCTGGGGCTGGGCAGGGGGCAGAGGCTACCTCTTTTCTTGAGTCCCGTCAGTTTCTGACCCTTTCTCACGTCCCTGGGAGATAGGGCCCTTTCCCCAATAAAACACATATACTCACATGCACAAAATTTTGCATATGCAGTTTCAGAGATGTAAGTAATTTGCATAGCTATTGCAGCGCTCATAATATTTATCTTGCTGTCAGGAAGGGTAGCATTTTATTACCTAAAGTCTGTTTCATAACCCTATGTAATGTAGAATGTATCTGAGACACTTCTCTATGGACCAAAAAAAAAAAGTATGTGTCAACACTTCTGGGGGTATTTGGACCTTTCATTATTTGGAAAACACTTTGAAGTCTAGTATCTCTTTTCTCCAACTACTTTCAGTACCCAAGGCATTATGATTTGGCGCTCAGAAATTAAATGATGACTTATTTTTTTTTTGGTAAGATAGTTTCTAGTTATGATCTCAGGATACCCAGAAAATTTCTTGCGCAGAGCTCTTATATCCTTGTTTTATCTTATCTACAGAATTCCAGTGAGATTTACTGTTTAAAAGTGAGACTTTGGGCTCCTGGATAAATAAAGATAAGTGTTGGGGCCTGAGTTCGGGCAAATTCTTGCTGCTGTGTCTTGGTGAAAGGGCATGTTGGGAGAACACATTTCACCCCCAATATTCAGCTTGTCCTTACTCCTTCAGAACCTCTTGGGTGGGACTTTTTCAAACTGTATATAGAAGCTTTAGTGTTCAACTACCCCTTTCACCAGAGCAGCAAATAGAGGCCTAGAAGGGTCCTTTCTTTCCATGTCTGTCCTCCTTGAAGACCCCCTACTGACCCGACTTCCCGAATCTGTTACATCTGGCCCCCAAAAGGCTACAAGGGCACCGCATAACCCCCTTTTACCTTGTCTTTTTTAAATTATTGAAGGTGGACTCAAACTGAATACTCGCCCAGATGCTTTCTTGCCTAACAATGAAGTGTTTTATGAGCTGAACTGGGCCTGTCAGTTTTCACATCGATGCATCACTGTAAAAAGTCAGTAGCCTCACGTGTGACATTTTTGAAGCCCCTGTGGACAGCAAGAAGGGCCTGTCCAGGCTTTGTTAGCAGTAGGTCACACTCGCTGCCTTCACACATACACACGGTCCGGTGGCTTGATTTCCACGGGATGTCTGCCTTCACGGCATACCGCTGGGTCAAGACAGTATTCCTGTTTCCTGGCCCATTTCCACAGAAGCCTCAGCAGTTTCGGGCCACTCAGCTGGCCAACAGAACTTCACGCTCTGGACAGCACGTGCTCACACCAGAAATCCCCTGGTCTCTTTGGAGTGCCGGGTAGCCTTCCTTATTCTAGAGTGGGTCCCAAAAGGTGAAAATCCTTAATGACCTGTAGGGTTTACTTATTAACTTATAAGCATTTCAGAGCCTGTCAGGAGTTCTTTACTGTTGGCTTCTTTTTTTTTTTTTTTTTTTTTCCCTCTTTTGGTTGCCCGAGCCCTTTTGTCTCCTGCCCTTGGGTGTTAAGAATTTATTTCTCAGGTATATTCATTACCTGTGGTTCCTACTTCATCTCAGTACCATTGGGCAGTATTGAAGGAGGGAGCAGGGATGGGTGTCTCCTGATGTGAATGATGCATCAGGAGTAGTCAGCTGGGGAGCCAGACATGGGTCTTCTTGGTTTTGACTGTGAGTTTCCTTTGACTCCTGGCTCAGGGAGAGGTGAGGTTCCTAGCTTGCCTTCAGAATGCAGTTTCTCTTGCTCTCAGACATGCCAAAGTTTTCTCGAAGTGACTTTAGAATTTTTTGATGAAGTTGAAAGGACTTTAACCTGTCATCAAAAGTTACATGGAGAAGCCTGGCTGTTGCTCCCCAGCAAGGAGGCTAATCTTTGCTCCAGGATGAATCAGTGTCTTTTATCTGAGCACTTGGAGAGGGGAGGGCAGTGGAATGGAATGGGGTTACAGACACCTGTAAAAGCTGCTCTCGGGGTGGCTTGCTTCCTTCTAGGAGCTCCTCTTATAGGGATAAGTGAGCAAATGATCATCTGAAGGGATAAAACAATAATTCCTCCCCAGGGAGCCTGGGTGGCTCAGTTGGCTAAGTGTATGACTCTTGCTTTTGGCTCAGGCCATGATTTCACAGTTTGTGGGTTCAGTCCCCACACCGGGCTCTGTGCTGACAGTGTAGAGCCTGCTTGAGATTCTCTCTCTCCCTCTCTCTCTGTCCCTTTCCTGCTCGTGCACTCTCTTTCACTCTCTCAAAATAAATAAACATTAAAAAAATTTCTCCCTCACGCCTCTCTTCCCTCTAGGATTATTCTGTAATAGAGAAGTTGCTTTGGATCGACAGTTTGGTCCTCTGCTCCTGGTTAGTGACTCACAACACTTTTTTCTGCATCTTTATTTGGGAAGGCCTTTTCCTATATGTACAACCAAAATGATGGGTAATTCTCAGTAGTGGTACTTCTCTGCAGTCTACCTGTAACTCCACCCTCCTGTCCCACCCAAGAAAACAGAAATACAGATACTGAAGTAAGAGTGATGCTATTATAAAGTTTGCTTTAAGCAACTACATTTATTTTATTATTTATTATTGAGAGAGACAGAGCATGAGCAGGGGAGGGGCAGAGAGAAGGGGAGACACAGAATCTGAAGGAGGTTCCAGGCTCTGAGCTGTCAGCACAGAGCCTAACGCGGGGCTCGAACTCACAAACTGTGAGATCATGACCTGAGCCGAAGTTGGACACTTAACCGACTGAGACACCCAGATGCCCCAACTACATTTATTTTATTTTATTTTTTTAACGTTTTATTTATTTCTAGGAGAGAGAGAGAGAGACAGCATGAGCAGGGGAGGGTCAGAGAGAGAGGGAGTCACAGACTGAAACAGGCTCCGGGCTCTGAGCTGGCAATCAGCACAGAGCCCGACGCGGGGCTCGAACCCACGAACCGCGAGATCATGAACTAAGCGAAAGTCGGACGCTTAACCGACTAAGCCACCCAGGCGCCCCCAACTACATTTATTTTTAACGTAAGTCCCATGTGAAGCTACAGTCTTCATTAGTTACAGTGACCTGGAACCCCTCATATAACCATTCGTGGCACACCATTGTGACGTGGTGCCTTGGGTGAGAGGCTGCTTGGTGGCTGTGGGGTAACAAATGATCCATTCACCACATTGGCCTCATCCTCTGATTAGAATGTAGTAGAATAAAGCTTGCTATGAGGTGGTTTTGATAGTGCTCGACTTTTGTTTCAGACCATATATGTTAAAAGCCCTAATAAAAATTGTATACATATTAATCCTCTTGATCCTATCCCCAGCCTTAATTCTGGCAATTGGATTCTTTCCTGCTGAAACAGAAAATATCTAATCTAGCTAGGAAACTTGCCTCCCCTTCCTCGTCTAGTTCACAAGGCCACAAAGCCATCGCATAGGGAAGGACCACTGTAGTCTCCCTAAATTCTCAGCACTATAATGTGTATTTCAGAATTTCGTTTGGAAGTCCTGAAGCAGAATGTGCTAATTTCACAAGTGTCAGGTAGGTTCCACCATGAGGCTGAAAGGTGCCTTCTTCACTTTCCAATTTAGTGTGTTTATCTGGCAAATGGATTCCCTTGGGAGTCTGACTTCTCATCTCAGGTGGTATTGAAAGAAAAGTGGTGATTTTTTTCTTTTTTTTTATGGGATCATTTTCACTCAAGGCATTTCAGTTTGACGTT